ATAAAAAGTATACAATCAAGAATCATACTTGTATATTTAGTTTTGAATCATAAATTATACCTATTATAATTTATACGTTCTATCTGATTAGCATGATCTCTTCTGAATGTACCCCTTTGCTCAACATGATACAAAGGTAATGATACCGAATGAAGTAACCTTTTATATTCCCATATGTATAATGTATATAATTAAGAAGGAAACGACCTTCAGACAATTAACCTCACCTCAAATCCACATCCAAATAAGGAAAAGGAGTTAAGGCAACTCATTAGTCCTAAACCCTTTAAGTTTTATTTATATACTTATACATATATGAACATGTTATTGATAATTATAATTTGAAATAGTTTATAAAACCTTTTTCAAATAATTTAATAGTATTAAAAGAGTTTACATGACTTTAAAGATTTAACATGACTTTAAGTCCTTTTGGAAGTATTTGGTAATCCTTAAAAGCATAAGGAAATCCTTTGTGTGATTGTTATCACATACAATTATTAACACAATTCAGATTGTGTTCAATTTGTATTCCCCCCTAAAAATCATTTAAAACCATTAAAAAGGTAGATTATAGGGGTATGAACTCACTTTGATAAGTGGTGATTTGGGCAGCGTTTCGTTTCTATAAATGATCTTTCTCGAAGAAACCACAAGTTTTTTTATTAAAACCGGGCTTTACGCGGGCAGCACTTCGACTGGAAAGAGGTTAGCTTCTCGAGAATTTCGGGGCTTGCTTCTAGCACTTCAACTGGAAATAGGTTAGCTTCTCGAGAATTTTGGGGCTTGCTTCGAGTGTTATATATGATATCGGGGTTTTGGGGGGTTGTAAGGAAGTTTAAAGGGGTGAAAAATGTGAAAAAGCATGAAATTTGGGGTGAAAATGAGTTAAGAATCGGAGAGTCTCGCATGCTATATAGAGTCCTAAGCCTCAGATCCGAAGCAAGGAGGGTGCGACGCGTGTTCGGACAGGTGGCGAAGGGGAGGCAGGTGGCAGCTTCGCATGCAAGGGGGAGGCCAGGTGTCGGAAGCTTCACAGGCGAGACATGGCTCGCTTCTGATGCTCCACGGATGCGAGGTGCGTCGGTTCATCATTGGACCGTGCCTTCGGTCGAATCAGCAGCGAACATGTGGCGACACGGGGAGGTCTCGCATGCGACGTGACGTGTCCGGATTGTGGCCATGCGAAATTTCTCGGTTCCCAATTATTTCTCGGTTTTTAAGCCACAAACTTCCGAAATTCATAACTTTTGCATACGAGCTCCGTTTTTAACGTTCTTTATATGCACGCTTAGGCGAGAATATACTCTACGACTTTCGTTTAGACTTCGTAGGCTAATTTTGAATTTATTTTTAATATTATTATTTTTAACAGAACGAGACAGGAAAATCCGTTAAAAAATCATAACTTCTTTATCCGACGTCCGTTTTTGTCTGTCTTTTTACTGTTGTACTACTATCGACGAGACCTTCCTTTCTCATTTAGGTTGTGTTGGCTAAAAATCACTCGATCTTTATTTCGAGTTTTTAGCTGTATACTGCTATACTGAAACTTAGAAAAATCATAACTTCCTCATACAAAGTCAGATTTTGACGTTCTTTTTATGAAAGTTCTCGGTTTAACATATTCTACAACTTTCATTTAGATTGTTAAGGCTAAAAATCCTTTTATTGAGAACTCACTTTTTACACTGAACAATGTTTTGCCGGTCTTGTCGCGGATCTTCGATTGGTCATAACTTCTTCGTTATAACTCGGATTTTAGTGTTCTTTATATTTTTGGAAACCTTGTTACAATCTCTACCACTTTGTTCATCCCAATTTAGATTATTGAACAAATTATTTTTGACAATAAATTTGACTGGTGTTACACTTGTTTTCCAAAAACAAAGATTATCAAACATAAAAAATCATTCTAAAATATAAAAGATGGCTCTGATACCACTGTTGGGTTTTGATACGAAATATAAGTTTGTTTTTCATAAAACTAGCAACGGAAGACTTTAAAAATTAACAAGTTTATTTTTAGTTCATAACAAAACCAAACCGTCATGGATCTATTTATAGAGGTTAGAATGAAATAAAAAACAACCATATGATGTTTTAGAGATAACTTTTGAAGCCTTTGAACCCACTTGGTTTTTGGGTGTTGATGAAGATGTAAAGATCAAATAACATGGTATTCTCTACAAGTATCCACCATCAAGATTAAGGCACTTGGAATGCTAATTCCTTCTTGTATAAAGTACTTCTTAAGCCTTTAAGTGCTTAACTCAAATAAGCACTAAAGTAGAAGCACTTTGAACCACCAAAAGACTTGAATAATCTTCAAAAGAATGAGAGCTCCAAGCCCTTTCATGCCCATGGTTTTAGAGAGAAAAAGAGAAAAAGAAGAACAGTAAAAAACTTTTTCAAAACTCATGCAAGGCACTCCCTTAAATACTCCATGTAAAGTAAAGTCCAAGATTAAAATACTATAAAGTATTTCTAGCCTTTAGAAGCATGGGAGACAAATCATGGAGGTTGAAAAGCAACCTCCATATTTGTTTATTAATTTCGGCCATACCTCTCAAAAGCGGATGGATTCTTTAAATTTTATGAACTCTAAGTTTATAAAATATAAACTTTGTCTTTAGGTAAAAGACAAAAGAATCTAACTGGTCCAAAATGTTGTGCATGCCTTATTAATTCATACCATATGAAATAATAACTAGTTATACTCTCTTATAATTATTATTTTCACAAAACAATAATTATTCCCTAATAAAAATACAAGAATTGATATTATTTATTAATAATCATATTAATAATAAATATACAAAATGTGTCAACTTGATAAATGTGTGACCCTATAGGATCATATATTATTAGAAATATCACCCCATAATGATTATTGGGAATACAGATTTAACATTTACAAGGTCGTTTCCTAAAGTGAAGTTCAAGCTTTGTTTAAACTTGGTTGAATTTCGCAGGTGTTAAGTCCTTTCGGGGCAACATAGCGGGATGAGAAAGGAAGTTTTAGGTTTCTGGAGTTATTCAGAAAATGCTCAAGTAGAGATGGAGATTGTTAAATGTGATTTGAGAGTTGAAGACCTCAAATGAGAGTTGGAGCATTTGACAATTCAATTGAGTATGTAGAAATTAAATGGATCATCTAGATATTTAGTGGGGCATCTTGAAATTGAATGGAACATCTATAATTTAATAGGGGCATCTAGAATTGAATGGAGCATCTAGAATTTAATGAGCATCTAGAAATTAAAAGGAGCATTTAGATATTTAGTGGGGTATTTAGAAATTGAATGGAGCATATAGAAATTCAATGTAGCATCTAGATATTAAATTGAGTATTTGGAAGCAAATGGCCATCGGAACACTAACTGGAGCATTTGACGTTAGGATAGAGCATCTGACATATCACTAGAGTATCAGAAGAAGCACCGTGTACATGATGCGCCGCCAAGTGACAATGTGCACCACCAATGGCACAATGTGCTCCATTGTTGGTCAAGGTGTGCCACCTTGTGGTCATGATGCACCATCTTGGTGACCTTGATGAGTTTCTCAGTGTTGATATGCTATTTATGTACTGCTGGAAGGATGATGCTCCACCAACGGGCTTAGTGGCCATCATGGCACATAAGGCGTCATTGGTGGCACGTGTTGCGTCATTGGCTTGGATGAGGTACCCCTCTAGCTGTGAGGTACGCTAAGGTGTTGAAGGAAGTCCCAAGTTGCTCGAAAGTTGAATGTGCTCAAGGTGGATGCCCCATGAAGCATGATGCACCCTTGTGGCGTCATGTTGCACTCCATGGGAATGGCTGGAGCTCATGTATTGTCTTTCAAGGTTGAAGGTTCTTGAAGAAGTTGTATGAAATATTGTGATTGGTTGACACCTTTCATGGAATTATGGATTAATGGGCTTGGCCCATGAGGGTTTTTGGTATGATCCCTAGTCTATAAATAGGGATGTCTACTAAGTCATTTATTGATATCTTTGTATGTTGAATACTTAGTGAGTAGGTCGGATCTTTATTAAGTTGTACTTGTAATCTCTATTTGAGAACTCTTGAATAAGAATACTCCCTTTTGCCCTTGGATGTAGGTAACCTTGATCGCTCCACATAAATAATGTGTCTTTGTGTGTGTAGTTTCGTGAGTTATCCTCTTTATTTCCTAACAACTATTATCAGAGTTTGGCAAGTGGCATATGATCCGTTTTGGCAAGTGGCATATGATATGTTCTGATTCTTCTATTCAAGTATTAATTATTAAAGTATTATCTAATTTCATTCATTCAAATACTAAGGTATTATCAAATTTCATGCATTCAAATAAGAAAGAATTTTTAATTCTCCCAGTGGATCATACTTTTTATTATTATGACTAAAGTTTATTTATTTTAGATAATAATGACTATAGTTTACTTATTTTTAGATTATAATTGCTAACATAGTTATGGTATTTGCATATTTTATTTTCTATTAACTTGTCGCTAAACATGAAATAGCGAACACTATTTCATCGCTATCGCTATGTAGCATATATGTAGTTCATCGCTATTGTCCCCTATTCACTATTGAAAAATATGTGTCCATGTAATTCATGAATTTACACAATATGATTAAACAAACCAAATTTATACATAAACAAAAATGTAAAAACAACTCATTTTTGTGTTAGTGTTTTACACATTCCAAACATTTTGTGAATATGGGTGTACAAGGGTTTGAAACACCGAAACTACATTAATTACACATCGCTCTTACCAATACTAGACCTCAAATGCATTAGTTACGCCTTAGACTTCTCAATTACTAGATACCACATCGAATGAATTTTAATCAATAAAGTTTTGTGTCTTACTAGATTGTGCAAATACACAACAAGTATATGTATACATGTTTACTATTGTTTCGTGAATCATTATTGATTATTCAGGGTTTTTTAAGGGATATTGAGTTATAATTTGCATGCAAAATTTGTGGAAAGTGCAGCAAAAGCAAGATGTTAGAGAGGCGTTAAAGAGACATGGTAAAAATTTTGTTGCTGCTAAGCCGCATACCAATCAGGTCAATAATCTTATCTGACACCCTTTCTTTCACTATTTAGAACATTTTCACAAACGCTTGGGATCTTCATCGAAGCATACCCCCTATAAAAAAAATTAATCACTCATCTATTATGTCTTTAGTTTATCAATAAGTTTGGATAGCTAAAGCAGGTTCGGATAAAAAAGCTTTTGGCTTAGCACTATCCAGGTCTGTTAGAAATGTGTCCCACTTAAGTGGCTGGGGGTTTAAGTCGAGTCGAAATGTGTATAATTAGGAGCATGATTAGATGAATGTGTCTTATCCGGTGTAAAAGAAAAGAAAAAAAGATCAATGTGACTTGATGCTTTTTATGCTAAATCTAAATGCAAAAATAAACAAAGTATGTCAAAACTTGTGTTTTAGATGTGCTTACTAATTTTTTCTTCATTCCAAATCCTCAAAATGGTTGGATATATTAACTTTAAAATGGGTATGTCAATGTGGTAAAGCATCTCAAAACTTTAAGAAAAAGTGCTACATTTCGTTTATTTTATTTATGATTTCCTTCGGTGCAAGTTTTAATTTGAATACACATACAAGGTTGCAACGGCTACTATAAAACAGAATGAAAGTTTGAATTTATTTAAAGGATATATCACCATCTACATACGATTATGGGGATTTTATTGATAACATATTTTATAATTATTTATATTTTTGAAATGTTAGCTTAATGTTGCAATTTAGAAGAATTTTTTTTTTCACTATTTTGTATTAATCATCACCACATAATAAAAGTCTAAACAAATAACATTTGTTTTTACAAATATCTGAAAATAGAGTTTGGTGTTGAGATATATACAAAGTGGGTATCGAGCGAGTAACAGTTCCAAAATGTCAAGAACTAGAACCGATCCCTTCTGCACCGGTTCAAGAATTGCTGATTTTGCATTAGGTCTCGTTCCAAAAGTGGATAACCGATTTCAACCTTCCGCCCTAATAACATGGCGTCCACTATTTTTCTATCTAAGTCACTTATATTTTAGTTTCACTCAATGGGGAAACAAAGTATTTCGGTACATTTATTAAGTCATAGTAATCGATTTCAACCATTTAACATGTATCTAGTCCTATTCCTACGAGACATCCAATATGGCTAAATTTGTTACATTCCTGTGTACCCCAACTATCTAATGTTCTCTCTCATCCACAAATACTTAATATGTACTCCCTATTATTTAATATTTCCTTTAGTCAACCTGTGTGAGTGTATGTATTTTTTCTTTGCAATCCATGAATTTACAAAATATGATTAAAGAAACCAAAGATTGTAACACCTAAACTACATTAATCACGCATCACTCTTATCAATCACTAGACCTTAAATGCATTAGTTATGCCTTAAACTCTCAATTAATAGATATCACATCAATTTACTTCTAAACAATAAAGTTTTGTGTCCCACTACATCGTGCAGGTACTTAAGTACTTAACTAGTATATGCATACATGTTTACTATTGTTTCAAGAATCATTATTTATTATTAAGGGTTTTTATTTTTGAGGGATGTGGAGTTATAATTTGCATGCGAATGTGTGGGTGCAGCAAAAGCTTGATGTTGAAAGGGCGTTAAAGAGACATGGGAATAATTTTGTTGTTGTAGAGGAACCTTATCAACGACCACGTTACTTTCCTAACCTCCCCAAACTCAACAAAGTTGCTGCTATGCCTCGTACCAATCAGGTCAATAATCTTATTTTACGCACTTTCTTTAACTATTTGGGACATTTCCACAAAGACTTGGGATCCTATTTGGACAAAAAGGCCTTTGTGTTAGCAATATCGAGTTGTCATGTGAAGATGTCTCTCCTCAAGTGGTTGAGGGTGCAACTCATATGGTGGACAAAAAGGTGTATAATTATGAGAATGATTAGATGAATGTGTGTCTTGGCTGTTTAACAAAAAATCAAAGTGTTTGAACTTGATGCTTTCCATGTTAAAACTAAATACAAAAATAAACAAAGTATATATGTGAAAATACAAAATCATATTAAACATAAATAACTACCTATATTATAATAGTTTTTACCATAGATTGTCATATTAATTAATGTATATCTAATTTAGTAGCCTATGCACATATATTAAAAAAAGAAAAATATAAGATTCATATCCTTATCATTATCATGTGTTTTGAGTAAAATTAGGCATACCACAAAGCAAATTATTTTATGTAGATAAAGGACCTCTATATTGCTATATATAACCAACTTTCAATTTTCACCAAGTCAGGTTGTGAGTAAAAGGTCCTAGACCAAGTACAAAAATATTTAAACTGGATGGACAAGCTCGATGTAGGTTTCATTTATTGACATCATAAAAATACCAGTTTGACTAAATGCAAGAAGTAGGTTTCATTCTTTGACTTAGTAAGGAGTTGTACTTTTAAAAAATCTAATAAATTTGAACATTGTACTTACAGTTTTTTCTCATCAAGACAATCTTCTTCAACATATATATCCATTAATACCAAAAGAGTTGCTTTATATGCTATTGACATTGCTATAATTGGTTGGATTCTTTAATATGGAAGGTTCTAATATGAAGAAATAAACGAAGGTTTATTTAATTAAAAAATCAAAAAAAAAAAAAAAACATTGCTATTTCTTTGTGTTAACTGTACTCTAAAAACAGTGTCTCTACCTAAAAACTGTTTTCGGTATAGTTGATGGCTTCTTCCATGTAGAAACTGTTTTCTAACATGTATGAAAATTGTGGGTCTAACTAAATATTGGTTCTCAAGTTCTCTTGCAAATACCTGTTCTCATGATAACTTAACCCGGTATATATATATATATATATATATATATATATTATATATATATATATATATATATATATATATATATATATATATATATATATATGTTGTTTAAGACTTGTTGAATATTAATAATTTTAGATTATATTCCAATGAAACAGCCGAAAGATCTCAAAATACCCTTCCATGTGATAAAAGATTGTACCCAAGACTTCAACGAAAGAAATTTCATCGCAAAGGGTGGTTACGGAAGGGTCTATAAGGGAACCCTCACCTGGGCAGATTATGTAAACCAATTAGTTGCTGTAAAGCGGCTAGATGTCACCGGATTTCAAGGTAACAAGGAGTTCCGCACAGAGGTTACATTGCTTTCAGAGTATCAACACAAAAACATTATAAAACTTATAGGGTTTTGTGATGATAACAAGGAGATGATCCTTGTTTACCAATATGCAAGCCACGGAAGCCTTGACAAATATTTAAGTAACACTACCATGTCGGGTGGGCTATCATGGCCACAACTCCATAAAATATGTATTGGTGTTGCTTATGCGTTGGACTACCTTCATAACCATGTGGCAGAGAAACACAGAATAATACATCGTGATGTGAAAAGCGCAAATGTTTTGTTGGATGAGAATTGGAATGCAAAACTTTCCGATTTTGGGTTGGCAAGGATAGGTTTAGCAAATCAACATACCACCTTTGTTATCACTAACCCTGCTGGCACATATGGTTATACTGATCCACAATACGTAAGAACAGGGCTTTTAACAAAAGAGTCGGATATTTATTCGTTTGGTGTGGTTTTGTTTGAAGTTTTGTGTGGAAGGCTGGCGTGTGTTTCCAGTTACCATGATGAGCGGCGATTCCTACATAATTTGGCTCGAAACTGCTACAAAAATGGAGAGTTGGATAAGATTATTGATCAAAGAATAAAGAAAGATATCAATTCAGGAACATTAAGCAAGTTTTCATCTATTGCATATCAATGCTTACAAGAAACTAGGGAAGAACGACCTACAATTGCGGAGGTTGCATTCCAACTTAAGGAAGCCTATAAAATCAAAGTATGTTTGAATATTTTTTTATCAATTAATTCAATATGGACATCTTTTTAGGGGAAAAATAAGGATGTCTACATAAAGTATATGGGTTGCTGACACAACATTTTTGTTTTGTACGTTGATCAGCATTAGTTTACACAAGTTTTCAAGATAAGAAGATGAAACCATCCTCGGTTGAGTCACAAAAATGAATCTTTGGTGAGTCTTTATAATCAAGGGAGACATGGACGAATAAAATCTAAAGTAAAGCTTCGGTTTTATGGTTGTCTATGGACTGTATCGTTGAAAAATGGTCTTATCATTACAATTAGAATTGTAAAAAAAAAAATTAATGCAACCACCTGTATCTGGATATGAATTAATGACTATAAGTCACATATCTACTCTCTTTTATGTGCAAAATTGTAATGTACCCACCCATATTGTTCACCTATAAAAGGAGAAGGAATAAGGCAAAGCCGACAAGTAGTGGAATGGAAAATGACCTGGACATAATTTGAGACCATATGGGGGGACCAAGGGCAGAATAGGGATTAGCCCCAGAGCAATCTCTATTTAGGTAGTGGCGTGTGCATGTTGAGAGGCAGCTGAAAATTGTGAGAAAATTCCGTTGGAGAGTAATGGCTTCTCGAAGTGCTATTTCATATCTTGTAATTTTAGTATTTCAATCAACCAATCATATTCTGGTTAAGTTATCTTCGTGAATTCTTGTCATCTTAGTGTTTGTTGGGAGTTATCTATTTGTGGGATTGAAGGCATAACAAAAATTTGTCTTTAGAGGCAATCTTGTATATTTTCTACTGCCCTCCAATGTTGTAAAAATTATTGTAGCCTATCACCTAGGTGGCACCGAGGTGCTAAGCCGGAGGTCTAATGAGTTGCAAAATGAAAATTGGGCATAAAGTTGCGAGCAGGCTAAGTATCGGTCAAAAAAGTTGGTAGCAACCTACTATTTTCAAATATATATATATATATATATATATATATATATATATATATATATGAGAGAGAGAGAGAGAGAGAGAGAGAGAGAGAGAGAGAGAGAGAGAGAGAGAGAGAGAGAGAAAGAGCTAGGTTCAAATGTTTCTAGCAACTATTGTGTGCCTAAATAAGCCCAATGAGAATTCAAGAAATAATAAATAATTAATAAATCATTAAAGGGTATTTTGGACCTTTTGTACTTTTTAATTAAGGAAATCATTTAATTGAAATCTTGCAATTAAGGAAATAAAGTAAATATATTTGACCTAGTCTCTCTCTTATCTTTATCCTCTCTTATATTTCATACGGTTCTTCTTTTTTTCACCTACATGGAGGAAAACAAAATGAGGAGGTTTTGTACCTTCGCTTAAGCCGCCAAGAGACACCCCACCACCCCCCCGAGGATCGCGAGGATCGCTGCTGATGTCCTACCCTTCACCTTCGTTTCCTGCCTGGTACACGTCTTGTGTTTCCTGTTATCTCTTTCCTCACTCTTAACGACTAATCCCTTGGCTCCAATCACCATTGATGCTCTCACGCCTTCCTCACTGTATGCTGGAGACGAAGGTCCAGGACACCTTGCGTCCCTCTGTCGTAATGTAGAACAAGATGCTTTAATGGCACACGTCTTACACCACAATTTTGGTTTTTTTTATGGTTCTATGGTCGTTTTCTGTCTCCATCAATAACTCATTTCATCTCCTTTTTTTTTCAATTTCCCCCCCTTATATTGGTTCTCGTAACAGCTTCAATTTGAAGAAATTGAAGGAATTAGAAGCTATTCATCTATCGATTGTATAAGATGTATGGGATTTGAGATCTTGATGTGGCTAGGTAGGAGTTTTTGTTGGTCCACCACATGTTCGATGAATTACTTAACAAACATACTGGGTTTAAACCTGACAATTAATTAATCCGGTTTCAACTATGACTTAAGATCTATCCACATGATGGAAACTGGAAATGTGAATGTGGTGTGCCGGGGAAAACCTTTCCCAAGTCGACATTTCCTACCTATTATCCTTCTTTGTTTTATTTCTTCATAATTTATTTAATTAGCTCAATTTATGGGTTTTCATTCAAATTAGTTCTCAGCTATCAGCTGTGATTGAGTTTGAGTTTTTATTTGATTGATTTTGTTGTAGAGTCAAGTCAGGGGTTGTTGGTGACAATCAATTTGTCACACCCCCAAACCGGAATGACGGAAATGTTCGGTGGTGGTTGACGTCATGTGTAGTATCACAACAATTGTATCATAGCAAGCATAGTAAACACAACCAAACATTGAATACATATATGAAAAAGGTTTACATTTGTCTTAATACATAATTTCGTTCATATCAAAAGTATAAAAACAAGACTATTATTGCTCCGGCTTCTCTAAATCCAAGGAGTACCTGTCTACCGATTTCTAATACAAGCAGTTTGAAAGAATATCAGCATAAAGCTGGTGAGTTTATAAGCAATTAGTTTTGGTGGAAAATGTTCTTTGATTCTTTTGAAGAGTGTTCCTCAAGAAAATCCTATATTTTCTTATAAAAAGCATGTTTGAAAACCCATTCCTTCCATGACTTCCAGATTCGTACCAAGATACGTAAAATCCAAGGTGTCGTGGAATGAATATGAATATCCGTTGATTACATGATAAACAAATCCGTTTTGAATAGCCGGTTTATCCCGGGAAAATCCTATATTTTCCCTAAAGGTTGATGGTTGATTATTCGTTTTAAACTGAGGTATGCAAGTATCTACCATACTCGTATTAATAAAAGCAGTTTTCTTTTAAAAACCTTGGTTACACCCAGAGAGGTACATTAGCTTTAAAAACTAAATAAAAGAAAACCGTGATGAACTAAGTCCTGAAGATATTATTATTAATACCCTCCAGTAATTAAATCGGTTATTAATTTGAGGTTAGTTCACTTGATTCATTATTACAAAAGTAAATCTCTGTTATCTACATTGTGAGTTTCATGACCATAACTGACTGGATATGGCCCGCAACGGCCGATATCCTTAATGACTTTGTCACCTGTAGACCTGCCGGTCTGACTGTAGCTAGCAGCAAGGTGCGGGATTGTCAGTCTTGTATAGATCTATACACAACAGTCACGCTCTCCCTACAAGAGACTCTGGTCACAAGTGCTAGTCCTACACTCTGATTCCGTGGGAGTGTTACCAAGGACGTGTCTCCAACTTAGACTAACAAATTTACAAGTAATAATATAAACAAAAATCCTTTTATGATTAACATGAAATCTTTATAAAATGATACATTTTACTACGTGATTCATAAGTTCATTGCTCTAGTTTTGAAAACTGTTTCTACGAGTTGATTTCTTAATCGTTTGGTAAAAACTGTTTTCCATGTTAAAAGCATACTAGAAATATAATTATCTTAAACAAAATAATATATTTTGAGCACAAGTTTCCTTGTACTTTTGCTTGTATTCCCCCCTGAAAACATGAAAAACTCGGTAAAAGCGTAGGGGTATGAACTCACCTGTTGTGAGTGGTTCTGACGTGTGGTTGGAAGAGGAGTCAGAGTGTCAGGTGTAACCTTGAGCACACAACGATCCTAATAGACACATATAGACATGTATGTGTATAAATTTAGTGTATAGACGACTAAATAAGAAGGGTAACACCCTTAATGGCTAGGAAACTCTAAGATTTATGGGATACAATCACATATGATTGCATAACTAGGGTATATGGCCACCCTATAGAGTTTACGGTCAAAGAGGTATGACCATTGGAGTTCACGGTCCAAGTGTTCACGGTCTTCGTGTTTACGGTTTTAGTGTTTACGGTCCAATGACCTTACGGTCATGGAGTTCACGGTCTAATGACCTTACGGTCATAAGGTTTACGGTCCATGGGTTTACGGTTCCATGGGTTTACGGCCCATGAATATACGGTCATTGAAGGGTGTACGGTCTAAGGAGATACACTAGACCGTAAACTCATCAATCTTGCACAAATGATGGTTTTCTAGGGCTTCATTCAAAGGCATCGGATTCTAGGGACCATGCTTAGCCTTAGGAAGGGTAAAGGCTATAAGAACACCCTTTATAAGGGTTTACGGTCTATGAAGATTCATAGGACCGGAAACTCTTTTGTTCAAGCAAAGAGTGATGATATTAAGTCCAAAATGAATGATTTTAACTCGATTCATGAAGGGGAAGATGATACTTACGGTTTTTGAAGGAAAAGAAGGTGTTTTCGGTCCAAAACACAACCGTGTTCTTGAGGATTTTCGATGAAGGTAGAGAGGGAGTAGAGAGAGAAAGCCTTTGAAGTGTTTGAAGTGTGAAATGAAGGCCAAATACTATATATAGGGTAGAGTTCTCGGTCAAAAAGGGGTCCACCTGACCGTAAACGTGTTTACGGTCTACACGAGTTTACGGTCGTAAACTCGTCCTGACCGTGAACTCGGTGATTTTCGAGGAAGTTCAAGTTTTTCGCGTGATTCCCGGTTTATTCTGAATCGTATAAAATACATATTATTTATTTAAAACTGAAGGTCCTTCCCAAACTAAGAAATTTGACGGAATTTAATAAAAACCCAAATTTTATTAACGAAAACTGGATAAGGATAACGGGAAAAGTTTCGGGTTGTCACATCATCCCCCCGTTAGAGGGAATTTCGTCCCGAAATTCGAACATAGAATGCAAATCAAGAATTTAGAAAGAGATGCAGATACTTCTGTTTCATCTGATCTTCGCGCTCCCAGTGATTTCAGGTCCCCGCTTGGCATTCCAGCGAACCTTCACTATCGGGATGCGACTTTGTTTCGTTCGTTTGATTTCTCTATCCATGATTTCGACCGGTTCTTCCACAAAGTTTAGGTTCTTGTTGATTTCAATTTCATCGAGAGGGATTATAAGGGTCTCGTCGGATAAACACTTTTTAAGGTTCGAGACGTGGAAAACGAGATGAATGTTGCTAAGCTCTTGAGGTAGGCGAAGTTTGTAAGCTACAGGGCCGATCCTAGCGAGGATATCAAAGGGTCCTATGTATCTTGGATTTAGCTTTCCACGCTTTCCAAAGCGTATCATGCCCTTCCAGGGTGAGACGTTTAGCAGGACACGGTCTCCAACCTGGAACTCCAAGGGTTTTCGTCGTTTATCGGCGTAGCTCTTTTGTCTATCTCGTGAGGCTTTCAGTCGTTCTCAGATTTATACGATCTTTTCAGTCGTCTCTCGTATGATCTCAGGACCAGTGAGAGTGCTGTCAGGGATTTGATCCTTGGCTAGCTACGTTTCACCCACTTCAGCCCAGCACAGAGGGGATCTGCACTTACGGCCATAGAGGGCTTCAAATGGCGCATCCTTGATGCTGGTATGGTAGCTTTTGTTGTAGGAAAATTCAACCAAAGGAAGATGAGTGTCCCATGACGTGCCGAAGTCGATGACGCAGGCTCTCAACATATCTTCCAATGTCTGAATTGTTCTCTCACTCTGTCCATCTGTCCGAGGATGATAAGCCGTGCTCATATCCAACTTAGTTCCTAGAGCCTTCTGTAGCGATTGCCAAAATCTCGAGGTGAACCTGCTATCTCGGTCGAAGATAATGGATACAGGTACCCCATGAAGGCGAACT